GGCTTCAACAATTGTAGAAAGGGAATCTCATATTCTTTATCCTTATCTTGGATAGAGACTGGCAAAAAAGGAACAGATATTCAAAATAACTAGGTAATACAGCATGTGAAGCATGGAATTCTATTAATGTCTTTGAGTTGGATATTGGTTAACACTTTGTGGTAATTCATAGTTTTGTATGCATTTTACTCTACAGTTTTTCTTTCGCAACCATTTTTCAGTAATGACACAAAACTCCTACCCTATCTTTACGAGAGAGTGCATCATAGTTACTTCCACGAATTATTAATATTCAAAATAATATAATATTGTTCAAATGACAAACTGAAAACTCCCAGAAGAATGAACATAAATTTTACTACAGGAATCTTGACACTGCAATGCCAGAGCAGCCATCATTCTAGAGGATATCTGTATAACACAAAATTATGTACAATGATAAACAAAAGTAACAAATTTTACCTTAATGCTGCTAAGCAGAGCATGAGAATCATGGATTATCAATATTAGTTCTATGTCAATTAGTAGTAGTACACTAAATTTGTATTAATACAAGAATGACCATGGAATTGCATTTTTATCATGTGAAGGTTTTGAGGAAAGTTGGTTATTGCTACACTTGAAAATCATGTGAGTGTTGTCCTGTGTCTGGCAACGTCGGGATAAAGGTTGTCGCTTTTGCCCCTCATTGTACACACGAACAAAATGAAAAAAAAAAAAAAAAAAAAAAAAAAAAAAAAAAAAAATATATATATATATATATATATATATATATATATATATATATATATATATATATATATACAAACCTTTTCAGTTGGTCGTCATCGCGATCGAGTTGCAGGAAGTTTGCCAGTTTCCTCAGTTCCCCGTGGATATCCGCTTTCAAATCCTCGTAAAACATGATATGAAGGTTCCTGTGGCCTTTGCGTTGCCAGGCCTGCCTGATGTGGTCCCAATAGGATCCGTAATTTATACCGTTGGTCATGAAAGCCGCTGCAAAGTTGGGGAGGTCTCCCTTGAAAGTGTTTCTCTTATTGTTGCTGCAGTGATGGAAGTAAGAGACGCACGTGTCCTTTGGATTTCGAACGGTGTACACTACCTGAAGGGAATAATTCTATTGTGAATTACCGAATTCAGAGGTATATCTAAGGTATGTAAAGCAAACATAAAATATGGTTCAGACTTTTGTAACAAAGCTTTAACAAGTAAGAAATTAATTCTGCTGAATTTAATAGATGAAGTGGATACAGAAATGCAGCAAAGGAGAAGAAATGATAATTTGTCCTTGTATTATTTCTAATGCATGCTATTGTAGTTTGATTAGACACTTCATGGCATAACCCACAGTTCCAAAGTATACCTGATTAACGAGATTTTGCTTACCATAATATAAAAGAAACAAAACCTATGTGGAATAACCAGGAACCTTTCCAAAGAAAAAGCAAATGAAAGAAATAACATACTTGAATTCATGCAGTTACCTTGCACGTGTCCAGGAGATCCTGCCGAAATAGGTCGAAGCGCAGGTGTGTCTTGATCACCCTGGGGCCCTCGTGCGCCGACGCCAGCTGGAGCTGCACGCCGTCCTCCACGCGCCCCCCGGGGCATGCCGCCACGAACCGCCGGTACGTCGGGTCGTCCTCGTCGGCACGGCCGGGGCGAAGGATGTCCTGGCGGCGAGGCAGAGGAAATGTAACATATGTGTTTGTTGTGCTGTGTTGTGTGTAGGGCGGGGGGGGGGGGGGCTACGGGCGCATATACTCTATCAACTTAAGCCTGTAAAGCCAGTCAATTCTGGGAAAGAAAAGTCCGTCGTATTCACCATGTCGAGGAAGAAGAAGCGCTCGCTGGACGCCACGTCCTCCGCCCGGTGGAGAGCGTCCGGGTTCCTCAGCGCCCACACGAGCTCCGAGGTCCAGTTGGTCCCCGACTTCGGGTAGGTCAGGACCACCACGTCGTCTGGCCGGAACTCGAAGTGGTAGAAGGCGCTGGCCAGGCGGGCGTACCTGGAAAGGCGCTTGTGGGGGCATCATGACGGTCGGCTTTGAATTCTGATGTATAAAATGTCGAGAAATGGACTGTGGTTGGCATTTGCCCCCCCCCCTACCCTCTCTCTAATCACACTGAAACAAACACACAGACGCACGCACTCCCCAACCCCCCTCCACACACACACACACACACACACACACACACACACACACACACACACACACACACACACACATATATATATATATATATATATAATATATATATATATATATATATATATATATATATATATATATATATACATGTATATGAGTCAGAAATACGCGGAAACCGGATGGGTATGCCTTACACCTTGCCCGTAACAGCTGCCTTCCTTCCGTGCATCGACGTACCTCGCCTGAGCCCTGCTTGCCCAAATAACTTTCTCCGCCTCGAGCAAATTACGCACACCCCACAAATGAGAAGCTGGCACCCGGCAACAGGACAAGGAGTCGCTGGATATAATGGTCTCGTCAGGCAGAAGAAAAGAGACCCGACCCAGCAGACAGGAGGAGCAGTCACAGGTCACACTCCTCGCCTCGTCACTCGGGGCTTCGGGTCACTTTCGGGGCCATACCTTTACCTTCCCGAATAAACCAACAAGCCAAGACCCCTTTCATTCACCACCACCCATACGCCCCAACTATATCACAACACACACACACACACACACACACACACACACACACACACACACACACACACACACACACACACACATACACATATATATATATAATATATATATATATATATATATATATATATATATATATATATATATATACATATATATATACACACACACACACACACACACACACACACATATATATATATATATATATATTATATATATATATATATTATATATATATATATATTATATATATCTTACCAATCTGTCTGTCTGCCTATTTCAGTACGAAATTATTCATCTGCACACTAATCACATGAATGTAAAACTATTTCAACGTACGAGGATCTGAAGTAGGCCAGGTTGGGCTTGGTTCTCACGAGATGCAGATTACTCTCGAAGCCGAGTTCCTGCAGGCGCTTTATCTCGTCCTCGGGCACTTCCTCCACCTGGAAGGGCAGCGGCCGCTCGGCTGCCTCTCGCTCGCTGCTGCTCGCCATGGTCGCTTCTGCTGATAGGGGGCTGAAGTCACACGCAGATTGGACGCATGAGTACCATATATATTTTGTACACATACACACGCACGCACACACACACACAATCACACATACACACAATCACACGCACAATCGCACACACAATCACACGCACAATCGCACACACAATAACACGCACAATCGCACACACAATCACACGCACAATCACAATCACACGCACAATCGCATACACACAATCACACACACACACAAAAGAAAAAGAGATCAGACGACAGCAGACCGCAAATCAGGGAATACAGTTCATGTTGCCGCGGCCGTAACACAGTGTACATCGAATCAGACAGTTATAAGCATTGCAGCGCCCTCTGACGCCATGGCAGGAGAAGCCCCTTCGTTGTTCACTTCCCAAGCAGTCTCTAACGAGGCTAATGACAAAGGAAGATGGTAGAAGCGGTTTGGTTCCTACAGCTAGCAGCTTTAACACCGCCACAGGAAGCCACGAATAAGCCAGGGTTCTCGCGTTTCTAATCACTGACATGACCCAACTCCTCAACATAAACATGTACCACTGTGCATATCTTTGTCTATACTTATATGTGTGTCTGTTTAAGTATAATTGAATTGGTGTGTATGAATGCAAATATAAGCACAGTATTATGTATACAAAGATGAAAAGAGAACAGCCACAATATGAAATTTCATATTATGGCTGTTTCCTCCACACACACACACACACACACACACACACACACACACACACACACACACACACACACACACACACACACACACACACACACACACACACACACACACACACACACACACACACACACACACACACACACACACACACACACACACACACACACACTTGTGCGGGTGTCTGTACGTAACTTCATAGAACCGTCTGGATTTCCTCACTCACCCGTGCGTCCCTGCTGGCGGACGACCTGCGGCCGAATGCCCTCGTGGCCTTGGGCCTGAAACAGATACAATGTGATGAAGTTGCCAGTTATTCCTTAATTTAGTGGGCTGCATTGGAGAAGTGCTGTGTTGTGGTGACTGTCATTTCGTGGGTGCCACCCATAGATGCATCTCTCTCTCTCTCTCTCTCTCTCTCTCTCTCTCTCTCTCTCTCTCTCTCTCTCTCTCTCTCTCTCTCTCTCTCTCTCTCTCTCTCTCTCTCTCTCTCATACACACACACACACACACATCTCGTGACCTCACACTTCCACCTCACTCTAGGCCTCCTACAACAGACAGCACTCTACTGTTTATCGCCGAGGCCAATGTGCCCTGCGCCCCTCGCGAGACGTCCATGATAATCTGCTTCCAGAACAATCAATTCCGACCCTTACCGGCAATCTCCGATTTCTTTATAACTATAAATAGACGCATATCTTGTATATACTCAAAATGTACCTCAGAAAATGCACTGTCTATATCACTGCTTTTATAACCATTATTATTGTACTCTAGATATCAATTGTCCACGAGTATTGTACCTACCTATTTTCTTACCGTGAAGCTTTTAGTCTTGTAGGCATCATCTCTTTTCTCACGTACTACAAGACATAAGGTATCCCTTGTTCCTCTCCACGAAACCATCATGTGACTATGTTTTTCTAAATGTGTGTTCATTCATATTCTTTCATGTTTTCAACTGTGAATTGTTTAAAGACGAACTTTGTTCGACCGCACGTGCTGGGCAGGACGCAATCCTCCCAGGGCGTCTCTCTGCCTTGCCCCTCCGTACCAATAAAGTTGTAAATCTGAGACAACGTTAACTCCAGCCCACCTCCAAGGGAACCCACCAGTGCCTTACCGCCTCAGCCACATGTCAAGGGGGAAATCGCCATCCCACTATATTACAACACACACACACATACGTACACACATGTAAGAGAGAGAGGGAGAGAGTGAGAGAGAGAGAGAGAGAGTAGATATACTGATTGCTATGCAGGCAAAGATAACGATGGGGACGTGCATATAAACAATCCAACATGACATGATAACAACAACCGCTATTCGCAGGAAGCCGCAGATAGAAGTATTATCTCGCGATAATGGAAATGTACGTGGTCAGACTCCTTCAGCTGTCTTGTCTGTAAATATGGGAACGCAGTATGACGTTGCTGCTGTTATGTCCTAATTTTCTTGATCATCTTACAGCTTTGGTCGGTGATCCACATTTTAGAAAGCACACACACATACGCACTACACACACACACACACACACACACGCATATGTGTATGTGTGTGTGTGCTTGTGTGCCCTTTTTATCAGCTTTATTATTTGCGTTATAATAAATGGGAAGATTATATATGTCTACCTATTTTCGTCATATAGTCACTACAGGTTTACACACAACTGAGTTTGTCTATTAACATTTAGCATTACTTGGATCACAGTCTCATACCGCCTCTTACATCTGCTTTATTCAAAAAGAAATGAAGAGGCTATAGATAGATAGAGAGACAGAGAAATAAAAAGAGGAAAAATGAGATAGACAGGCAGAGAGATAAAGGGAAATTAGAAGAAAATGAGGGACATAAAGAGAGATATAGAAAACGAGAGAGAATGAGTCTGGGGGAACTTACGTAGAATAATTCAAATAATATTGCGCAGTGACTGGACGTTTCACATCTAGGTCTCCGCTGTCGTGATGCCTTTGCTTTACCCTTAGCATGTACATGCATTATTTTGGTTACTTTGTTTCTGTGTAAACATGTTGCATGACCAGTTTGAAATTTATCATGGTGATTTCTCTTGATGTCTGGAATTTGTATACCATATATGTATATAAGGTAATATTTTGTTTAATTTTGTTTGGTTGGTTGTGCTTGTATCTCTCTCTCTCTCTCTCTCTCTCTCTCTCTCTCTCTCTCTCTCTCTCTCTCTCTCTCTCTCTTTCTCCCTGTGTATGTGTGTTTGTGGCTGTGAGTGAGTGGCAGTGCTTATTGTTGGTTAGTCATATCTATTTATTTGTTGGCCGAAGTAAGCATCGAGTTTAATACACTAGAGATGTAAGCAGTCCCTGTTCAGGATGCTGGGGCTGTGATCAGTATATTGAAATCTCACAAACAAATATAACTAATGATGGTATCACACTCCAGATTAATGCTACGCATATTGTGTGGAGAAAAATTAGTTGAAGAATGACGATTTGCAATACTCATTTCCATAGTCCTAACGCAGAATCGCCTTGTTTGACTGATATATCATTTGTAAATCCTTTCAGTTAAATTCCTTGTCAGGAAGAAGAAAAAAGCTGTCACACATCGATTGATGACAACTCTTATTCTACATTCTGATGTAAGAAGCCAGATGTGTATCCAAGCACAGTAATGCTTGGATACATACTCTTGATTGTGTAGTTCCTTTGTAAGATGTATGCCTTGTTTAAAGTTTCAACATATTGGGTTAAAAGACGGTATATATTGAGGTAGATTAATAGATTCATACTTTTATTCTTGCACATTCCATCCAACCTAAGGAAGAACCAAAGCAGGTAGATGCAAACACAATCTAACACAAACGGAATTCACCAGCGAAAACATGAAATATAGAACATCAACAAATACCCTTAAAAATACGACGCTTAGAGAAGAAAGATTCGAAAATATAAATCCTATTTTGTTACTAGAGTGCTGTCAATTACTCGTGTTAGCATTGCACGCAGGATTTCTTGCAATACAGCAACATGTAGTCTGCGTTCGTCCGGCAGTAACCTGTTTGGGCCCAAGCGCTGCAGTATCTGTTGCGGTCCTCACACATTTCTGTCACTGGAGGGAGAAGAGGGAAGAGACAACGGCGTCACTAGATGATGCTATTAAGAAACGGTAATGGCAATGAGGATAATGATAATGGTGATAGTAACGATAATGATGATGATAATGATAACGATAAATATGATGATGGTGGCGGTAAGAACATTAATGATGCTGATATTGATAATATTGATGCTGATATTGATAACATTGATGCTGATAATGATAATGGTAATAGTAATGGTGGTGATGAGGATGATTACAATAATGATAATCATAATGTCAAGAATATATTAACTACCTCAATGATAAAGCTGGTGAAACATCACGAACCTTCGTTGTGGCAAATCTCGCAGGACTTCCTGCAGAAGCGGCCCATGTAGGCCGGGTTCTTGGTGCACTGGCCGTTGCGCGCCCAGTAGTCGCAGTACTTGTTGTTGTCTCCGCACTCTTTCCCTTTTAGATTATAAGTTTGATTATAAGTATTGCGTTTCGGGTTTTAGTCTAATAACTATAATTGCTATTACTATTGTCAGATATCTCAGCCTACTAATATCAATCTGTTTCCTTCTATCTTTCATCCAATCTCCTCTTCCTTCTCCCTCCCCCTCCATCTCTTCTCTTTCCATACATTGAAATACATTAAATCAAAATTTTCATTTAGGTTAGCAATGTTTATGCACTACAACGGATACTACTTTATATCTTATAAACTTATCATTTAGAAATGCTAATTATTCATATGAATGTATTGCTTCAAGAAGTAGGCGCTGAGAGGGAGCGAGCGAGAGTGTATGGTGGATATGAACTCTGAGAAAATGACGCATGGCAGGTTAAAGTTGGCCACCGATGCCTCGTGTGACTGCAACACTCACCGCACTCCTTGCAGGATTTTCTGCAACTGACGGTCATCCACGTCGGGTTCCTCTCGCACTCTCCTGCAGCTGCCCAAGCCTCGCAGTATTTGTTTCCATCCTCACACGTGTCTACGGAATAGGAAATTTACACAGTTGGAAAATGAAACATTCTACAGAATATTGGATTTTACGTATTTATGTGATTCAGCAAGTGGCTGTAGCAGGTTGAAGTAACTGTACTTTCAGACTGAGAAAAAGATCGTGGTCATGTATATTTTAACAGGTAACGGCAAGGATTTCGACCAACCTGGAGCCACAATATTCACAGGAACTTCGGTCGTTACAGTTTCCGTTGTGTTGGCGCAGTTATATAGAAGCTGCAGTTTCAAGACATCTTTCTGTAAGATGAGAATCGTGTTCATTAGGAAGACGTTAAGTATTCTATGAAGATGGATAAAGTAATAAAGTTATTGTTCATGTTATTCTGATAAAAAAGACATGTATCATTCAGATAAAATATAAGAAACTGGTTATACATTCATGAGCAAAGTTTAATAATATACTAAGCCGACAAACAGATGGATAGATAGATAGACAGATAAATAGACAGAGAGGAGGGGGGGGGGACTTCTCACCGTGGAAAGCGTCCGACGTTGTCCAATCTCAGCCCCCATCTGGCGAGGGATGATCGTGGGTTTGGAGCGGTCCCTGGCGAAGGCGTACGGCCCGTAGTGCATCACGGACCCTGCGGAGGAGAGGGGGTTCAGGAGAGTCACGGGAAGAGGGGGGGGATAGAGGAGTAAGGGAGGGAAGAGAGAGAGAGAGAGAGAGAGAGGGAGAGAGAGAGAGAGAGAGAGAGAGAGAGAGAGAGAGAGAGAGAGAGAGAGAGAGAGAGACAGACAGACAGACAGACAGACAGACAGACAGACAGACAGACAGACAGAGGCAGAAACAGACAGACGTATGGAAGAAACGATAGAAGAGGTTAGCATAAGTTCATGGGGGGAAGAGTGAAAGAAAGGATAGGTGTTAGTGAGAGAGACAGAGACGGGGAGAGAACGGATGAGATGCAGGTAGATAGATAGACAGAGACAGATAGATAGATAGATAGATAGATAGATAGATAGAGAGAGAGAAAGAGAGAGAGAGAGAGAGAGGAAAAGGTAAAGCCGTACTAACTGTAAAATTACTTGTATCAAATAAAAATCAGACATATCAATGAAGGAAATGCCTTCGGTACAAATCCATAAAAATCATGTCAATACTTTTTTCTGTTATAATTTACATCAGCACTTGAAATGGAACTTTATTTTTATAATTTGTTTTCCTGCATAGGCTATATATTGTAGATTATGCTGTGTTCTAGATTCCTTTTCATGCGAGACAAACTTTATGCTTTTCATCTGATTCATGAATATCATATATGTTCAAAACAGAATTTAAGCAGCGTTGATGGCTGCTTATTACAGACAAAATCTAGATTCTTAGGATGCTGTCACTCACCGAGATCGTAGTCCACTCCGAGGCTTTGAATTGTACTCCAAGAATATTTCTGAAAATTGAATTCCATCCCGTTCTGGATGTTCGCCATGTTGATTGTGATGTAGTTGTCCCGGTCTGCACGTGACTGTTCGTGCCAGAACCCGGCGGCGTGCATGAGCTCGTGCATGACGATCCCCACGTACAGGCACCCGGGACCCAGAGACACTGCCTGCGCGCCGCCCACTCGGCCGACGGAGCTGGAGCAGCTGAGGAGGAACGAGACGGAATATAAAACGATTGACAGTATGGTAGGAAATCCCATTATGCGAAAATCAGGTTTATTGAAAGGCGGGACAATGGCTGTAAATCGATCTCGAGACGTCCCTGCTTTCGGTAAACAATGTTTCAATAAACGTTTTTCCGTTTTCAATTTTTTTTTTTTTTTTTTTTTTTTTTTTTGGTCACGTGTTACTTTTGGTGAATCCAATTCCTGAGATGATATATTGAGATCAAGCCGTATATTCTTTTTGATATTTTGATACTCATTACCATTGTTTTCTTGATATTGTTTATCATTGTTCCTCTACATCCCATTCCCTCTTTTGATACATTGCCATTCCACCTTTTCTATCCTTGTTCTTGCACTACAGGCTTGTTTTTCAGTATACAGTAGTCATGGTTCCACTCGCCTTATCTGACTTAGCAACCAAAGTCAA